CTCAACTTTTCGATAGTTGCTCGAGAAAACCAATCATAAAAAATAAATAACTGTTTACTATGCCTCCTACATAACTATATCTTCAATATCTGCTATGTCTCATATATCTCCAATATCTCCAATAGGATGCTTCAATTCCTTGAATTCTTTCGGATCATTCAATTTCTTGGGATCCTTGAGTTCCTTGCGTTTCTTCAAATCCTTGGATTCCTTGGGGTCCTTGAATTGCTTGGATTTCTGGGCATCCTTGACTTCAATGAGATCTTTGGGTTCCTTGAAGTCCTTGAGCTCCTTGAATTTCGTGGAATCCTTGACTTCCATGAGATCGTTGGGTACCTTAAATTCCTTGACAGGCTTGAGCTCCTTGAAAGCCTTGGACTTCTTCAGTTCCTTGCGTTCCTTGGGATCCTTGAGTTCCGTGGGATCCGGGACTTCCTTGAGATCCTTTAATTTCTTGGGATCCTTGAGTTTCGTGGGATCGCTGAGTTCCTTGACTTTCTTTGATTCCTTGTGATTCTTGAGTTCCTTGAATTCCTTCGGATCCTTGAGATCCTGGAATATGTTTACGCCGCCTTATGCTTTAGTTTCTTAGTGCCCGTATGTGTTGAATAATTTTTGAGTTGAAGAATACGTCAAGAGTTCGGAATGCACGGAATTCGGACAGGTCTCTGTTCTTGTTCAACCACCCACACCCCCACCCCAACTCACACCCACACCCACACCCACCCACACCCACACCCACACCCACACCCCAACCCACACCCACACCCCACATCCACACCCATGCGTTTGTTGACATTGCACTATTGACATTCATCATAATTGTGCAAGATTTTGAAAAAAATGGGAGAACGAAAAAAAGAAGTAAAAAATAATATGTCATAGCAAATCGAGTCGATTTTCTTGGGGGTGGTTTACAAGAAAACAAAATACATTATTCGATTCAGAATTTTATAAGGATCCCAGATATACTACCTCCTTTCCTGGACAACTCTTAGTTTTTGAGAAAAGAATAAAAAACTAGTGCTCATTCCAAAAAAAGAAGGCGGGTGGATATTTTTTGAATAACTTTTGATAAGAACAAGATACAGAGCTATGGTTTTCACTTTTGGAAAGATTTTGGAAAGAGACGGATTCAGCACATTGATTCATATAAATTTGTTAAGGTTTACCTCGAAAATAGGTACTGATCCATTGTCATCTTGAAAGACTAGACTATTGCACTATGAAAGTAGAACAAATCTTAAACGTTGAGGAGTGTGCTAGAATCGCCAGCTTAAGAGCTACAAAACTATATATAACGCTCGATTCAAAACTTTACTGGTTTGGGAGTTCTAGCTACTATATTCGATAATTCTAGCCCACTTTGCCAGCAGTTTCTGTAAAAAAAACTCAATTTTTTTCGTTTTTGCTGGAAAAATCAGACCTGTTTGTAAGACATTTATTTGTTCAACTATTGCAAAAGGTTTCAAAAATCCAAATTAAAAGTAATTTGTCTTATATGGTTCGATATGTTTTCATCTGCTCTTTCCAACGGTGAAAATCGCAGCCCTCTATCTTGTTCCTATCAAAAGTTAATTAAAAATACCCACCCACCTTCTTTTTTCGAATGGGCAGTAGTACATAGTGAAGTAACTATTTATGTGACGACATGTTTGTGTCTTCAACGAATTATAATTACAATGAAGTCAAAATTAGAGCTAGTGTATCTCTCGTAACGGCTACCGTGGTACATTTGGTCCGGTGTCACCGGTGCTACGATGAACCGATGGATCGATGAGACCAGTGAACGGTGAACCGGTGACATCGGTGGCCACCGTCACCGTTGCATTCCTAGTAACCGATCCTAGTGTCAAGCCTGAGTCCGAAGTATTGCTGTTGACTAGAATCAGATCTGGATCCAGGTGCAAGTCTTCCATTTAAGATCTGATGGGCGCTAGCTGCATGTAACAGCTAGTGATAACTTGGTTATTACTAGATTACCCTCAAAAGTGTTTGAAAAATGTGAAAGAAATGCTAGTCACCGAAAACTTAATCGAAAAAACAAGGTAGTATCTTCGATGTAATTATCGAATTGGAAGTAAAAGAATTGTAGTAAGAGCACGAGGACTACCATTCAGAATTTCGATTCAAGAATTTGGGATCTGCTGGACTATATCTGAAAATCATTATTCAATCAAGACAAAAGTTTAAGTGGCTATTTGTATACAAGCTTTTTGCCATAAGTTGTAAACTTATCTCTGATCTGAACTAATACTAAAAATTAAAAATTTTCAGTTGGAAATAAGCAGTACTAATTGTTTTTTATTTGAATGGTACAGGAAAAAAAATGACTCTCTCTCTTTTTAACCTATCTGTAAGGGTCTTATAAAAACTGTTGAGTCCACCCTAGATTCGAAACGTTCCGTCGCCTATGGTTTGAGCTGTGGAAAATCTGATTGTACCAGTAGATAGAACTCGTCAGGTTGCAATTGGAACTCTATTGGAACAGTTGAAACAATTTCTTAGGCGAATCCTAGCTGCTTCTACTCGAATCTTTGGCGAATTTCACGTACGTATCCATTTGAGATTTCTTGAAAATTGAATTCAAAAAGAGAATCATAGTCGATAAGAACAAATCTAATTTACATCTTGTTTTTCAACATGTTTTTTTTCTCTATTGGAGTCTAACATGTTCTCTACTAACACAAGAATCAATTTCAATATTTTCATAATAAGCATTTGTAACGCTAGTGCATATTCAGATTGCCATAGTTATGTATTGTGATTATGAACATATCAATTTTCCGAGTAAATGTTTTTCACAACAATAGTATCCATTTTCTAAAATAAACGTTGTTATTTTATTATTACTGTAAGCATAAAATCAATAACCTATCCTTGATATTGTTCAATAATACACATTCGAACAAAACGATTAATACATATGATTAAATCATGGTAGACTATCTGCATATTCAATAAAAGTTGGTCCTATATAAATATCAGATAAATTTATATTTTGTTATTTTCTCGAAATAAATATTTGCTGATAAAATACCGAAGTAAAACTTTTTCTACATAATACTCTTCAAGTACTGCTCGATTTACAATTCATGAATATCGAGTTTTGAAGACATAAGAATTCTTTCAACTGTTTCGTTTTCATGTTTATCTAATCTAAGTGATTTAAGAAATTCATGAAGCCAACGTACAAATTCTGAAACTTGACTTTTTTCTAAAAAAAATAAAACAAAACAAATCAAGGGTGTGGATATGGGTATGGATGTGGACCCTTCATTAAACATACCCACATCCACCAACACCCACACCCTTGATAAAGGTGTCGAATACTACCACGACAGCATGTTTTCGTTGTGTAAATATAATCATCAGCTTAAAAGCAAAACAAATCTTTTAATATCGTTTAAGGCTGAGCGTGACATTGAAAGAATACCAGATACATCTTCTATGTTGAGAAACACATATACAGTTCGAATTCCTTGAGCTTCTAGCAATTTAGCGTCTGCTGATCCAGCAATTTTTTCAACCACTTTATAAAAATCTTCGTCACGAAACGAAAGGATATCCAAGCTGACAAATATTTTCAAAAACGCGTTTAAACTTATGAAAAAGTGTCTTAAAAATATAAAAAATACACGTTTTTGCCCTTTTTTGCGTGTTTACATGTGTTTTCAACGAGAACATGATTGTAAAGGGTATAAACGCATAAAAAGAACACGAAACACAGATATCTTCTTCCCAGTCGTAAATCGGCGTCATGATTGTGATAACAGTTTACGATCGTGAAGACAACTGCGTTTCGTCTTCTTTTTATGCGTTTATATGTTTCTACAATCGTGTCCTTGCTGAAAATGCGTTCAAACGCACAAAAAGGGCAAAAAACACGTACTTTTTATACTTTCAAGACACTTTTTCATGGGTTTGAACGAGTTTTTGAAAATGTTTGTTTGTTAGGGTATCAGCCGGTAAGATAGAAGTGTCAAACGAAAGGTTCGGAAAAGACATTTATAAATATTAGATTCCGAATAAAGAGAATTATCATCAACATGCCATTAAAATAATTTTAATTTTGAAAATATTGCGCTAGAGAATAACTTTATTCAAATAGTTTGAGCTCACTCTGAAAAATAATTGATGGACGAAGAGACACTGAAGAAAATAGAGGTCAGCTATTTCTGAATAAAGTCTCAACTCATTTCGTATGCTGAATATGAACACATCTGCATAGTGAGTCAAAGTATGTCGAGCAGTTCGTGTGTGTTTTGGTCATATAATAAAAGTTTGCGGACCTTCAAATGATATGTTTCTTTTAGTGATCTTATTTTGAAAATTTCTTGACAATTGAGTTTAGCCTCACTAGAGGTTATATTAACATCAGGAAATAACGAATTATTTTTCGATACGAACACCTAGTTAGATTTGTAACAGAGGCCTCAGCAGGCTGTTAGGCCTGCCTGCCTGGTACAGGCACAGGAGGTAATTTTCAAGCCTGTCACAGGCCAGACAGGCCAGGCCAAAACCATCCTCAGGCCAGGCAGGCTTATTAAAATATACAGGCCGCCTGTCAATCATATTTTTGGTAATTTTCAATAAAAATTTTATCTTTGATCAGAAAACGTAGTTATTGATAAATAAATTTAAGAGTGTGTATCGCTAGAGGAAGAGGAACAATTTAGATAATACTGATTGGATAGATTGATGACTACTTAATAATAGCGAATCACATGACATTATCCACTATTCATTATTTATTTATTTTATTTCTTCGTTTTGCTGAATTAGTTCTGAGTATTTGTAATCGCTATCTTTGTTATTTTTAGATAAATATTTTCTTGAGCCTTGTGTTTCATTGCTTAAAATTTATATTAAACCGATTATTCTTACATTTCATCAATTATTCTTATTCTTCATCGATTAATATTTATATTATACCGATTATTCTTACATTTCATCAACTATTCTTATTCTTCATCGATTAATATTTATATTACTGAACAATGTCTGATATTGATATATTGTCTTCATATGATTCAGTTTCATCTACATCAAGCTCAAATGTAACTCAACAGTATTCAACATCATCAATTGAAAATCTTTTAAAACAAAAAGATGACTTCAAACAATTTATCGTTATCAAGAATGATCAAAAAAATGTTTCATCACTTGCTTGGTCAACATTTTGTTTTCCTGCTAAGCGTGCAGAAGATGGTTCTTATAAACAAATAATTGGTTTTGCAAGTTGTTTCAATTGTAAAGATACGTATTCATTTCAATCTGGTGGTAGTGGGAGCACTAAGCATTTGCTAAGACATGTATGCTCAAAAAAATCATTACTATTATCAGAAAATAATCAAGAAGGTCCAATAGATAAATTTATCAAGTCGAAAAAGTCAACATCATTTAAATTAACTTCACAAGATCGTACAACAATTCGAGATGAATTCACAAAATGGATATATTCATCAATTCGTCCATTCAACATTATTTCTGATCCAGGATTAAAAACAACTTTAAAAACAATTATTGATATTTGTGAGTTATTTAGTGTGTTTAGATTCAAATGATTGTTTCGATGTTTTTAGGTCAAAAATATCATGGATTAATCGATATTGAAGATATACTTGTAGCACCAACAACAATTTCTTATAATGTTAATCGATTAGCTGATCATTACAGGTCTTTGGCACGATCTATATTAATTGAACAAGCTGAAGCTGGTGTTTTAACAATCTGTCCAGATCTATGGACCGACAGTTTAAAAAAAATTAATTATTTAGATTTAACAGTTTATTTTGTAACATCAAATTATGAATTAATTTCATTCGATTTATGCTGTTCCCGGTACGATGAGGTAGACAAAACAGGAGAATCTGTACTACAGGTAAGTAAAATGATCAAACGCAAGAAAAATAATTTCAAGAATTTTTTCTAGGCTATACGAAAACAAATGGATAGTTTTGGTTTATTACCATACATGGACAGTTATCGGATATCATTTACCAGTGACAGAGGCTCGAACATATTGAAGGCTTTGAAAGGTGAGTTGTTTAAAATACTTCTGTTGTTAGTATTAAAATTTGCATTATTTAGGATATCCGGTGATTCATTGCTTCGCACATCGTATCAATAATATATTAAAGTTGACTTTTTATCACAATCAACAAAAACAAGCGAAAAAAATCAACAATGCATCAACAACATCAGGAAACAAAACAACAAAAAAAACTTGAATATATTGGTGATAGTTCAACGGATAGCTCCTCGTCTGATGATGATTCAACAACATCATCTCCATCTAAATATGCTGAAGCAAATATACTATTATCAGATTTACCATCAAAATCAAAAGAAATTTTAAATACAATCTCAACATGTAAAAAGCTTGTCAGACATATAAAAGTAGTGAGTAAAACAACCAGCACAACAAAATGATTCATTTATTTTTTTTATAAAAATTCTGTCATTTAGAAAGGTTTAAATAAAGATATAGAAGAACTTGGTGGTATTGCCTTAAAACAAGAATGTATAGTTAGATGGTTATTGATGTCAAACATGCTAGAATCGATCGGTGCTTCAATTGAACATGTTCGATCGATATTATCATCAAAATCATCAAAGAATGAATGTTCCTTTAAATTAAATAATATTAATACTGATGCATTAAAAGATTTAATTTGTTTATTAAGTGAATTTAAAAATGTATCTATATTAGTTCAAACAGGAACTCGTCCGTCTTTACATTTGGCTTATATTTGTGTTAATAAACTTGAACATCATCTACATGGAACTGATGTTGATAAAGAAGATGAAATGATTTGTATCGATGATCGTGATGAAGGTAATATCGAACAATGAATAAAAGATGTTATTTGTAAGTATTATCATTTTAGGTACCGATTTCTTTCGAAAACGTCTTATTCAATTATTAAAATCTAAGTTTACATTCGATGAAAAACACTTTGCAGCAGCTGTTCTTCATCCTCTTTACAGAAAATTATCATTCACCACCAAGTATTCCAAAAATATTGCTCATTTATATATTCGTGAACAATTAAATGATATATTAGGATTACATCAACAACATTTTACAACAAATTCCGAACCTTTAAAGAAAAAACATAAGTCTATCGAAGATCAGTTTGCTGATCCTGATGATAATAATAGTTGTGAAGGTAATTCAACACCAACATCAACAATTAAAAATGATGAACTTGAAAAATATTTACGAATGAATATCGACAATGTTTATAAACAACCAAATCCACTACCATTTTGGCGTGATCATGAAAATAAATTCCCTGGTTTAGCTTTACTTGCTCGTCGTCTGTTCTCTATTCCGGTGACACCAGCCGGAGTAGAGCGACAATTCTCTTCTGCTGGTTTAACAATCAGTGAACGTCGTTCCTCGCTTGATTCAGATACTGTCAACGACATTCTTTTCGTCAGATCTGTACAAACTCTGCTTGAATCAAAACCAGACAGTTTTTTTAAACAATAGTATTTTTTTGTATACCTGTTCTCTACTTAAACATAATATGATAAATTAATAAATGTTGTATCTAGTCATTTCATTTCTATTCACATGACTTTTTTTTATCAATTCCTGATACCTATTTCACAGTTTTGTTTAATTATCATATATTATTAGTATAGAAAAGTCTAGAGAGGCTTCGACAGGCAGGCCAGGCAGGCCGAGCAAAATCACAGGCAGGCAGGCCAGGTCTGGGAAAATGAATGACAGGCACAGGCAGGCTGTAGAATTAGATAGCTTGTCGTGGGCAGGCCAGGCTTACATAAAGCTGGCCTGTTGAGACCTCTGATTTGTAATTCTAATTTTGTCATTATCATTCTTGGATTTCGTAAATCATATCTATAGAATGCATTTTATGTCATCTATTTAAATAAAGCTCATATTTCCGTATTGTCATACATAAAACAATATAAAATTTCGAAAGAAGATTCAATATTGCAGACTTTGTTCTACAATTTTCTAACTTTTTAAAAAGGTTTCTTTTAAAAAAATCCAAATCTCATCAAGTCATAAACAACTTCTTCAATATACGTAATTTACTCACATATGAAAATGCTCATCGACGATAATATAATACTTGAATCAGCTTCAATATTCTTGTTTTAAGGATAAATCTAAAGAAAAATATTATTCTTGGCGTTTCTTGATTTTCCAGTTAGAACACTTAAGCACTATTATATTTTGATCTTTGTCCATGAATTAATATTACCAGTGTCTATATCT